TTTTTGAGACAGAGTCTTGCTCTGTCACCCCAGGCTGGAGTGCAGTGGCGTGATCTCGGCTCACTGCAGCCTCCGCCTCCTGGGTTCAAGCAATTCTCCTGCCTCAGCCTCCTGAGTAGCGCACCACTACACTCAACTAATTTTTGTATTTTAGTAGAGACGGGGTTTCACTATGTTGGCCAGGAGAGTCTTGATCTCTTGACCTTGTGATCCACCTGCCTCGGCCTCCCAAAGTGCTGGGATTACAGGTGTGAGCCACCTCGCCCGGCCTGAGAAATCTTTATTTAAGGAGTCTGAGAGAGGGTGAGTTTCTCAGAAAAGAAGGCTCTGTCAGACAGAAAAGCTGAAGAGCCTTTGGTGCCCAGGAATCATGAAACTAGCACTAAAATGATAACAGTAAGGAATGATTCATTTTTGCAAAGTACCTAATTACCTAATTAGTGTTCGTGGGCTTACATATTGTCTTAAATACAATCTGCTTTCATATTTGTTTAAAGTTTGCCGGTGTTTTGCTATTTTAATTAAGAGATCTGGTTTTAATGAACTGGGAATGGAAAAGTACTGGGCAAACTGGGTGAAGGCCGGCAAAGCTGTTACCTTCACTTTCAGGCTGGGGCCCTTCCTGGAAGACTGGTGGAGCAGGTCACTTCAACTGCAGGGACAGCTTTTTGGTAGGCAAATAAACCCCACTCAGGCAGAAACTCCAAAATCAGAAGTTAAGAGGAAATACACATGAAATAGCAGTTTGTATTCTTTCATCTAGATAAAAAGCTCCAAAAGGGAGGGTTCAGGCCATATTTACTTTTCTTAAAAGAGAGGAAAAGCGTCAAGGAGGGAAGAAGGGAGAGGAATAATGAAGGCCCTGCCTGATGGAATCTTTTCTTCAGGGGCTGTTCTAGCACTCATATCATGAGGTGCCCAGGTACTCAATAATTAATTACTTCAGGAATACCTAAAATGGCAGTCACTCCAGACTGACTCACATAAAGGATTCTCCTGGTGAGGTGGGTGGATCACAGGGTCAGGGGTTCGAGACCAGCCTGACAAACATGGTGAAACTCCGTCTCTGCTTAAAAATACAAAAATTAGCCAGGTGTGGTGGTGCAAACCTGTAATCCCAGCTACTTGGGAGGCTGAGGCAAGAGAATTGCTTAAACCCAGGAGGCAGAGGTTGCAGTGAGCCGAGAGCACGCCACTGCACTCCAGCCTGGGCAACAGAGTGAGACTCTGTCTTAATTAAAAAAAAAAAAAGTTAATATTTTTTTCTGATTATTAAAGTTATATATATTATTTGGTATTATATTCATGTATAATATGAATATTATAATATTCATTATTTTTCTGATTAAAAGTTCTAGTACTCATTTTTAATTAACCAGTGGTGGTTAGGTAACTTAAGGTCTTTCTATAAATTCTAAATTGGAAAAAAGTATACAGTACAGATGAACGTAAAAATTAGATTTAATCTTACCACCCAGAGATACCTAGCAGTCACATTTTGATGTCTTTCTTTGTGGGCTTCTTCCCTATCTATGGTTCCCCTCCCTACAAGATGACCCAGTGCCAGCAAGTAGCCCTTGAAATTTAGATGCAAACATTATGAAAGAAAAAAAAAAGTATTTAAAAAAATACTATATAATTATCTTCCCATTATTAAAAAAATTATTCCAGTAAGACATTTTACAGACAAACTGTTATTCTCCCCTACTAGTGAACATAGACATTATCGTATTTTTATTTTTTATTCTTATAAGTAATGCTGCAGTTAATAACCTTGTATATACATTTTTTTACCAAATTTTTATTTTTTTGGGGTAGCTTTACAAGTCGGAGGATCTCCAGTTTCTTCATCTATATAGTTTCCTCATTTATGAAATGGAGGATTAAAAGAATAACTGCTTCCTGGAGTCATTACAGAGATTAAATGAGATGATGTTTATAAATTGCTGTATTTAGTGCTTGGCACATAGTAGGTACTCAGGAGAAATTTAATTTTATTATTGCTTAAACCTTTTGAAGTCTTACCACATATTACCAACTACATTTCCCAAATAACTTTGAAACTCTCCTTAACTCATTTCACTGCATCCCAACTGAATACAACTGTTTAAAAATTGTTTCATTTAGTCAGCCATCATGAGAAAATTATTAATGGATAAGAGATTCAAAATGGCAGAATCAAGTGTGAATCAAGACCATTTGGAAAGTGAACATAGAACCAAGACTTTCATTAGAGCACTGACTTATCACTACAGTCTCATTAATACAAAAATATGACCGCTGAGGTAAGTCTGAGTCAACCCTGATTGAATGGAGATCCTGCAACCTTCTCTGGTTCTGATTCTCCTCATCACATACTTCTCATACCACTTCTCCGAATGGGCTGGCTGATGAGGTCTGTGGTTAACAGGGCCACAACTTTTTAAAAAACAATTCTCTAGGCTGCTTTTTCTACTTTCCCTATCCTGTGTCCCAAGCAACACAGTTATTGTTGCTGTTTTCTAACTCCATCTAGTGCCAGCTCGCTGTGTCCTCCTCTCCCAGACAGCACTGTTTTCCTGAACATGGGGTCTTATCTCCGACTTTAGTATGGTTAAAACTTTTGAGCCACAAAATTAGCTATCTAGATGAGAAAAAAGGAATTGTGGCAGGGACCATTTTCAGCTGTCCTTTAATTTTAAACATTTAAGCAGATTTATGTTATTAGTGGATTTGTATTTTAAATATTGTCAATTACACCACAGGTAATGATTCTTTTACAGACTCAACAGTCTGAGTGTCAATTTTTCTGACCCTCCATTATCTGTTGGGGATATTTACTTTGTAGAAGTCAGAAAATAGAGTGGTAATTTTAAATCTGCACAACACTGCTTCCATATTGCCAATTATTTCTGAAAATGCTCGCAAGAAAAAACAGTAGGTCCTAAGACTGTCAGCTTTGTTGGAAAGAACAAGGGATACTAAACAATTTAAGGTCTTCCTAGCAACAACTGGCATTTAATGAACATGTACTATTAAAGAGCTTTACTTATTTTTATTTTATTTTATTATTCATTTTTTTTTTTTTTTTTTGAGATGGAGTCTTGTTCTGTCACCCAGGCTGGAGAACAGTGGCATGATCTCGGCTCACTGCAACCTCAGCCTCCAAGGTTCAAGCGATTCTCCTGCCTCAGCCTCCCGAGTAGCTGGGATTATAGGCACATGCCACCACCCCAGGCTAATTTTTGTATTTTTGGTAGAGATGGGGTTTCACTATGTTGGTCAGGCTGGTCTTGAACTTCTGACCTTGTGATCTGCCTGCCTTAGCCTTTCAAAGTGCTGAGATTACAGGTGTGAGCCACTGTATCCAGCTATTTAATTTTTATATCATCTGTATAAGAGACCACTTTTACACCTATAGACAGCTTAAGAACTGCCCAGGGTTCACAGGGGTGGCCGCAGCATTCACAATCGGGCAGTCTGGTTCTTAGCCACTCAGATACCTATCAATCCAATAATCCAACTCTTAATGTAGGTACTTCATAGAAAACGTCCCATTTATTATAGAGAAGAATTCTTACTGGAACAAAAAGTAAGGTGCCTACTGTTAGAGTGGCATTAGTACAGGTATATTCTTGGTGACTGATGTTTTCAGATAATTATGCTGAGAGCCATTGGTTCAGGAAAGGTATCAACAAAGGCATAACAGAGTTTAGAGGTATAAAGAAAGTATGTCACACATGCTATTTAGAAATGACCCAAACGTTTCTCAAAGGCTTGTTTTCCACTCTCTCCAATTAATGCAAACTGTCCCTGCCCCTTCATCAAAAACAAAGTTAAGAACAAAGCAAGCTTGCGGGGTGGGGTAAGGGGGAGGTGGTGAGAACACACTGGTCTTTGTCCTGAGGAAATCATCAGTCTCATTTCTACCCAGTGAATGACAAGATTACCTGATCCAAGTCATTCCGTAGAGCAATTTTGCTTGTTACTAGTTCATGGGCGAGGTCGTCATTCTCTTGTTCCAGCCTCATGCTGGCCTCCTGTAATCTTCGGTTCTCCCTCTGCAGAAAAAAAGCAACAGCCGGAAGTGAGGATTAGTGCCTGGACGTACAGAAATGAACAGAACTGGTGAGGAAAAACAAGCAACAAGTGAACTTTCAAAGGTGTAAAAGGAGAAGGCGCAAGTGGCACAGGAAGGCAGGATTGCTGTCTGGGAAACAACAGTGAGTTTGGCTAGCAATGCGGGTGCGGTTCTCTACGCAGTGAAACTGTCCCTTAAACTCTCAAGATGGAACTTCATCATAAAAAAAAGTGCCAAAAGAGCAGAATTTCCAAACATATCCCCAATCCTGTGAGGTTTTTATATAGACCTAGAACACAGACACAAGCAATTCTTCATTTAAAACATGCACAGTAAGTAGTCTCACCCTTGACCTCAAGAGAAGCCACAAGACACAGGAGGAATGAAACAGGGGAACCACCAGACATTTCTTCAAATTGTTTTTCTAAGACAGGGTTCATATTAACTGAGTATATTTAAGAGCAGTAAATCAAGAATCATGACACATCGTTCATGACTTTGCTATCAGCTGACATTTTTATTCTTTGAGTAAGAATATATTTACTTTTCTGAACACCAATTTTTGTGTGAGAGCAACAGTCCTTATAATAGCGCTAGCTTTTTTTCCTTTTTTAAAACTTCAAATTAAAACATTCTGGGTAAAATAAATTACTGAGGATTTCTGCACCCCATCTTGAAAAATCTGAAACAAATTTACATGATAAACAAAAAAAAAGTCACTAATTCTTATGAAGCAAGTAACTAAACATTATGAACTTGGTATGTTCACAACTGTTTTCAGAAGAGCTATTTCATGTCTTCCATTCCAAAGTATCAAAAGTGCTTTCTTTGCTACTGTTAACAGTTATAGGAGATTTAAAATAGAGCTGACAGGAAAAACTAATGTGATGAGACCTTCCTGTTTTTCACATTTATACTCCTAACAGTGTTTTCTGCAAAAGCAGCAAAAGCTCAGACAAAGCAGTGATACAAAACCAGAAGACAAATATATGTTTTGGAAGATAGTTTATCATAGCATACCAGGTAAGGTGAAGTTAATTTTACCTTCTGTGTAACAACCTGGTGTTTGTTATATTTAACAAAAACAGCCAGGTACAGCGGCTCACACATGTAATCCCAGCACTTTGGGAGGCTGAGGCGGGTGGAACATGAGGTCAGGGGTTCAAGACCAACCTGACAAACATGGTGAAACCCTGTCTCTACTTAAAAATACAAAAATTAGCCGGGTGTGGTGGCATGTGCCTGTAGTCCCAGCTACTTGGGAGGCTGAGGCAGGAGAATTGCTTGAACCCAGGAGGTGGAGGTTGCGGTGAGCCGAGAGC